TCTAGCAAGCGACAAATCCTAACGGCTATCCAAAACGTTGCAGACTACACCTGGCGGATATACTAGAAACTTTAGAATAGTAGTGTTCGGTGTCATCACTTATCTTTTGCTTCTTTAATCATGTTTACATGACAGATAGACAAATAGAAACACTTTTATCCAATAGTCAATAAATTTCTTGATCGGAATCATTGTTTTACTACTCGGGTTACTTGTCGATTAGTAAATGTCTACATGCATAAGAGTCGGTTGAGTTAAAGATACTTTGAGATTAATTTGAAAATTTGTACTCGGTTGAACTTTTTCTATGGACATACCTGAAAAAAATAGACGGTCGAATTCTTATTCCATAGAAAAGCTAACAAAACTTTAATTTAGTAGATTACTTTTTCTGTAGTTAAATATGAAAGAACGATTGTTTTCGAGTGATTGAACTTATATATATTGAAAAGTTGATGGTAGGTCTATAGCTACTAAAGAATTTATTCGTAAGAATTAAAAATCAATGAATAAAATATAAGCAGTCAAAATTTAAGCACGTGCAGTGATTGTTTGAGTAATAGTATCTTGTTCATCTCTAATTTGTTTTCTTGTAATAAAAGCATAAAATTTAATAAGAACTCTTTTTAATTCTCGTCTAAATGTAGGTGATGTTGCAATATAAATATAGAATGGTACGGCTGTGTTAAAATACAATATAAACGACTGTACCATATAATTAATAAATGTTTCAATTTGTTTTCGTTGTTGACTTTTTATTAAAGAATCTGTTATCACTTTATAAATAAGATATATCGAATATGGTATTGTAGTAACAACGTAAAACATAACTTCAGTAAAAATCATTTTCATTAAATCGCGGTCACGTTTTCGAATTATATTAATAGATCGGTTCTTTTCTCGATCTTCTCTTTTCGGCTGAACACGACTTCGCAAGTTTCGTAAAGTTTTCATTACTAATATACTACATATGATCATCAATAATGGAGGAAGAATTCCAGTGAATATCATATAATAAATTGTATAAATCATTGAATAAATTTCATTAAATATATTACATGAACCATTTTGAATTGTTCGTGTCCGAGCAAAAAATATTACTGCTAATGACCAAAATAAGGCACAACCTATAATTATATAGATAGCCACTTTACGTTGACTAAATGAGCGAGAGCGAACATTAGTACTACAAATAGCATAACGATCAATACATGCAAGAGTTTTATATGTACGCATCATTTGAAAAAAAGCATGTCGAAAATAAAATTGCATTTGGCAACCAATTAGAGATGCAGTAGTTATATCAATATGATCTAATGAATATATTATGGGAATTAGTGCAACATCAAGACAAAGTAAATTACATATTGCCATTGATAGTAAATAAAGTGAACAAGCATTTTTACGTTGTTCAGATTGACAGAAAACAGCAATAGCTAATAAATTACCAAGATTTCCAAATGCAACATATGTACTCATACCATATCGTGTTAATATTTTTTGAACAAATGACAAGCAAGATATAGAAGTTGTCATTTTTATGCTTTAAGAAGAAAACAACAAATGAATGATGCGTAGTATATGATGCGATTCTTATTTATAAAAAAAAAAAAAGATCTACGATAAGAAAATATGTAGCTGCCATCAAGATATAACTCTATGCTTCATTAACTTCTTTTAATTTGTTCAAAACAAAGAATTTCTTCTAGAAAAAGACTATACAGATATTATTACTTGATTATTATTGATTCATCTTGAAATTGTTCATTAAAATACAGTAGATTAATTCAATTTGAACGATCGTTGTCAGTTTAATTCTGATGTTTGAAATTTTCTGACTCATTCTCTGCTACGACAAATTCACAGAAATATTCAGTACGGTGTTGGTATTTCACTTGTTTACCAAGTCTGCAAAATGTAACCTTGTAAAAACTTCCAAACGAAACAATTAATTAACCATGAAAATTAACAAAAAAAAAACAAAATATCTTTTCAATTCATATGATTCCTCTATCTTTTCTAATTTTTTTGCCTATATATGGTCGTCTGTTCGCATATAATCATCATCATAATACAAGTATGAAAAATATAGGCAAGAGCAGTAATGTACTTTCAAAAAATTCATGTGTTCGAACATTTCATACCAAAATCAGAACGGATTAATAATGAACTTAGTTATAAGAATCATCTTCTTCTTCTTCTTGAGAGTAATCTATTATATTAAACTAAAAATATCTGAGTATAATTTAATGTAAATACTATTTTTTCAACAAAAAAACCATCATGTTTAAATTAAAACTTTGCGATAAACATGACAGTTGTACTACGTTCATTTCATTGTTTTATGTTAATTGAAAAAAGAATTTGGATAGATTGGTCTAATCAATCTTAAATCGACTTGACTAGTTTCATGTTTGATTATGTAAATCCAGTTTACCGTATCATTTTCGGAAACATTGATGAAAACATTTCAAATATTTCGATACGCACAATGTGCAACAGATGATTAGTTAGCCAAATAAACAATAACAAAAAACCCCTTGGAAAACGCATGTTTTTACGCGTTCAGTTTTTTATCTGAGCTCATTCATACAAGAAATAATCAAATTCTATTGATTGAAATCGCTTGAACTTTGGTTAAAATGAAAACTCAAGAGACGATCCATGACCCAATCAAGAAATCATGTCATATGAAGAATTTTGACGGATGTTTCTTATGATCATAAATAAAAGAGCATATAAGAAAGCCTACAAATTCAAAGTTTTAGCCTTCTCTGAACAACTCTTGAATACATATGAAAGAAACATGGAACATCCGTCGATGAAACCTTAAAAATAAATATCATATTTCTTTCAGTTTCTCATGTTCTCATTATGCGATTATTTTTTTTTATCTGATAAGTTTGAAAATCGCGGGCTGTTTTTTAATGTTTTTATCGCGAAAAAACATCAAAACTAATGCAATCCAACTATTATTTCTACTGAAAAAAGTAATTAAAAAATATACACGAAATACTCAAAATATCCCAAAAAGACAAAAGCACTACTCTTACATAACACTTTTTTGTCGCAGTTTCAAAATATATCAATCAAACGACAAAATGATTAAGATTTTTCTCATCATGAAAATTAAGCAAGAATTACATGTTGAATCTATTTATTATGTTAGTTCGACCGTCGATTAAATAAAAATTTTTTTATAATGATGAATTTCTTTTCATTCATTAAAAAAATTGATATAATAAATATTCAATATTATCGAATACCATTTATACTGGATATTCAAATCATTCAACTCTACTCACCATATAGAATTGTAACTGATGAAAAGTTAAAATGGCTCTCTTATGAGTTACATGAGCTCATGTCATCTAAATCGTATTACTTGTTACAATTAGTTACGATATTTGAAAAAATCGTCGATTAATCGCGAATCATCAGTGATTTTTCGTCTAATGCTATAAATCATGATCAAGTGGAGATCTTCCAAGGCACTTCAACAGTAAGTATCATTATTAAAAAAGTATTGTTTTTCTTTTATTTAGCTCAGTTTCAATAATAATATCAACAGTAAGTATTATTTAGAAAACCACAATTTTCTCTAGAAATCGAAAAAAAATCGTCAATTTAGGCCATTAATAGTCTAATCAATTGCGACTTTAATGACATGAAGGTCATATCAGTACTCAGATGTCGCTGAGTACTGTTATCGACAGTCATTTGACAATTTCATTGGATCTATTGACTTGACCATTAAAAGAGAATAACTTGCAAATAGACATATGTATCTATTGTTATTATCGATCGAAGTCTTTTTGATTTTCTATATTCGAATAAATTTGCTCAACGATTATTGTGCATAATGAAATCACTGAACAATTGTGTTCAAGAATTTATTGATCATCATTCATCAACACTATTTCCATCAGATAATACAACAGATATTCGACATCCTCGATTAAATAGATTTAATTCTATTGCTTCATCATCCGTTGATATTGAAGACGAAGATCCAAGTTTGTTATTATTTTGCATCATAAACAAAACTAATATTTATTATACATATATATAGATCTGTTTGTTATTACTCCACCAATTGAATATTTTCTTCATGTTTCATCGCGACTATGTCGTGAACAATTTTTTAAAGTAAGATTTCATTGATTCTTTTATATTACTGAACAACTTATTTTTATAGCTAATTCGTCCTGGTCATCTTCTTATTTGTCATGTAATCACTGCTAGTTCACGTGATATGCTTGTACGTATTTTATGTTTTGATGATGGGCATCGACGAGCATTACATGACCTTAAACTTACTGTAAGTACAATTTTGATATCAATAGTTAATTAAAGAAAATAATTATGATTTAAATCTAGGCAACTTGCCTATTGAATACATCAAGTAGTAAGAATACTAATAATTATCGTAAAAAAAATAAATATGATCGAGATGTACAAGAAATTAGTGATGAAGATAAAGATGATGGAGAATATCAAAGTGGAGATTTGATACGAGGTAAATTAGTTGTTAGATCAAAAAATCTTCATATTGTTCTTTTTTTATTACGCGTTTAGCTTGTGTAACTCATGTCGATGTACACAAGGAAGAAATTCAATTAACAATTGATCCATCTTTGAATCGTATGTTTTCAGAATTAGTTTTCATTTTTTTTGTTTGCTTTTCGAATTCTGTTCTATTTTAGATCATCATCATTGTTCTAAAAAACTGGTAAATATTTTAAATAAAAATTTTGTATTCAAAATAATATTTCGTTTTTATCTAGGGTCTTATTAATGAAGATGATTTACCAAAACATTATGTGTAATTGATATAAACTTTTTTATATAATGGGTGTTTCAAGATGTTCGTAGCTTGGATTATTTTGCATATATCTATGCATGAATAATCCTTAACATCTTGAATTTTTATTTAGGAAATACGTGGTCCAGTTCTTGAGAAGCTTCCATCTAATTTTATTTAAAAGAATAAAATTTATCATTATTTTTTTTGGATGAATAGGAGTAGTTTTTTTTGACGAGAGAAAGTCCTTCAACTAATTGATCGAGACTATGTGTATTATGTAGATCCAAATGCGGTATGAATAACCTAAGAACAGTTCATAGTCTTATTTTATTTCTGCAGAGACACTGCACTTTTACAATATTCTGTAAATGAACACCGTGATAGCAGGAAAATTGATTTTCGACTTGAAACTTTGCATAATGACAGACCTTAAGGAGAATAATATCTTGTGCATATGTTAGATCTTGTCTCTGTTCCTATTGTACGATACAACTATGGTAATAGTTTGTCTTCTAAATACTGAAAGAAACAGATTTGATGCTCTTATTTGACGATAGAAGCAAATCAAAAGACTTGAACTACTCTCGTTAAACACTGTCTCTATGAAAAGTTTCAAGTCAAAATTCAAAAATCAATTTTTTTAAAGGAAACCACGACATTCATTTAAAGAATACCGAAAAAGTGAATATCTCCACAACAATAATCTAAGTATCCAAGCTTTTCTGAGCGCAAGGGTAACTCATTTGGGTCTACATAATACATATAGTCTCGATTTATCAATTGGAAGACTTTTCTCATGAGTTGACACAGCGAAAAGAGACTTTTTGATAGTATTCAGCTTTTTATTCCAACTGTATCATAGAACAAATCATATTATTTGGATTTCGAATAGAAAGACAAATATGATTTACAAATATAAGCTCATTTTAATTTTTTATTATGTTTTTGAAAAGAAAGAAAATATTTCGATGTCCTAAAAATTCCTTTATCGAAAAACGCTGTCGAATGGACAAAAAAACTCCATACATATGCACAACTAACATGCACTTTAGATAGCTATGTGATATTCAGTTCTGTTTTCAAAATTAAGATTATAGAAAGTTTGATGGCACATGTTCCAATGAAAAACTCAAGCTTCTATGATTGATACATGCAAACTGAACCATGTTGCAAATATTTTGGAATGCTTGAAATTTTGAATGTTTTTTTTTTTTTCATTCTTTAGTTTGTTACGCCGACAAGAAGAACAATCTCAATCTTATGAAGATATTCTACAAACTTCAAAAGCACTCAATAATAGAGCTTGCGTTCAAACACTTTATCAACGGTTAAAAAAGCGATTTGAATATTCTCATTCTGATGATAATAATATTGAATCATCTAATGATATATTACATATGACATTAATTAATTCATTTAAAAAGTAAATTGTTTTCTTTAAAAACCATATATTTTTAATTCTATAAATAGAAAACATATTCCATCAGATGAATATTTTGATAAATTACGTCAAAAACAAGATCATGAATGGGCAATCGAAAGGTAAAATAAGTATAATTTAAAATAAAATTATAAAGTGTTCTTTTATTTTTCTTTGTTTTTAAGTGTTGCGGAAGGCATACGATTAATGAAAGATAATGATTCAACTTCAGCTATACTTCATTTTAATAAAGCTCTAAGTACAGATCCGAAATGTGTTGATGCACTTGTTGCACGTGGTGCTTTGACA